GTATTCGAAATGATTTAGTATTTTTTCATTCTGCTTGGTTGTGTTCATATTTGACGCTGATGGACATTGACATTCATTTCAGCTTTTCTTTTTGAACATGTTGATCTTGGCAAAACTTGGGTTAGTACATCTGCATCATTATTATTCATGATTATTTGCTGTTCCAATGTTTCTTGAGTTGCTAAATTATTCATGTGTGATTTCTGTATCAATAGTCTTTTTTGTCCAAGCTCTATATTTATTGAATCTTCAGTATCTACTACACTTCTTGCAACATCAGAAGGTCGAAAACGTTGAATATTCCATCTTACATGATTTAAATAAAAAGCGTTTGAATTGATTATTTCGATTACCTCATCTGATAAAGTCCAATTGTTATGCGTAAAGACTAGACATGCACCAAGCTCAAGCAGTTTGAGTTTGATGTAGGTGTGGATTTGGGTTTGTTTCAATGAGTTTGAGTTTGGGTTTATATTTGGGTATTTAGTTGAAGTGCGAGAAAGCCTTTGTTGCCATCCAATATTCAAATATGACAATACAACTTTGTAGCCTAGTCCAAGTTAGCATAAGCAAAAGCACATAAAGTTCAATTAAAATTTCACTGACTTCCGATACTAATATCTTATATATACTGTGTCACAAGCTTTTAGGAAGCTTAAATTTACTATCCATATATTATTAAGCATGATCATAACTGAATCTCAGATGCTCGTCTTTCGCTATCAATTTCAAAAGAAAACTAGCATAGAGTATTCGATATATTTTTGTAATCGTGATGTATGGCGAGTAGAAGGTTACTCATGAGGGCGTTGGTGTTAACTTCCATTTGACAGCCATAGCCACATACCCACACCCACACCCACCCATTATGGGGCACCCTTTATTTAACAACGCATATGCGTATCAAATAAGTTACTTTATCGACTCGGAAACTTAAACAAAAGATTTTTCTTAAAGAGCTACATAGTTTGAGAGTTAAAAAATGACGTCGTCTTTTAGATGCTAAAATGAACTGAAACTGTACACGAAAATATATGCTCTTTACTGTACAAAATCTATTGGCTACATAAGTATCGATTGAACTATACTCTTTGTAGCTATGAATAGTGGATTAAGCCATCGATAGAATTTTTTCCTGTTAGAATCATATTTGAGATATTGATATCTTTTTCAATGACTGTTATGAAAGAAATGGAAACGTATTTTTATTTGTGGCAACGTGATACTAATATGTAATGTAACACATCAATAGACATGGACATAGAGAGCACGAACTGTACAAGACGAAAAAAGAAAAAAACATCAAAAGTAAACAGTGTTTTCGTAGGAAATGCACTCATGCTTTGTCAACCTTCGATCGAATTTTAGAAGCATAAGACCAAGCATGGGGTATATAAATATGACTCACGTATTTATATTCCCAAATACTTTAATATCGATGAGTTTTATTCAAATTAATTTTGGGATTCATCTTTTTACTAAAAATACAAGTTTGTAATGACTGCAATTTGTGCCAAATAAAGAAAAGCCTCCCTAAAACTACGTGAAACTGGGCTTGGCGCAACTAGAAAAAGTTTTAATCTTGTTCCAAAGTTCGCGTTGTTTTAAAAATAGTGTGTGTGTGTGTCAGCTTTTTGCAGTGCTTCATACAAGGAGGAACAGTCTGATTTTCAGGCATAGAAATCATTAGAAATCATCATACATTAAAGATGTGAAGAACGACTCAGCTGTTAGAAATTACAAGAAGTAGATGTAAATAAGTGTAAATCACCGAAATTTGCGAGCTATACAGTGAAAGAAAATATTGATTTCTATTGATTACTGATGATTTTTATTGATTTCCTTTTTTCCACAATGTGCAATGTTTTCAGTGGCCACTGTTGATTTCTATTGATATTTCATAATTTTTCAACATTCCTAAACGTTTTCAATGATTTCTGCTGGTTTGTAATGATCATATAAAAACTGACTTCCAGTCATAGAAATCACTGGAAATCAAGAGATCAGTTTGTTTAACCTTTGCTTCACACACTTGTATATATAAATCATGACTTTTGGCTTCATACACGTGTATCATTTGTAGATATAAATTATGGCTTTTCTCTTCTTTTTCGTGTCGTACTAGTCTTATCTTTGTGCTTGTCCTCTTATTTTTATGTGGTACTCTCTTTATCTATTCTTTTTTTTCATGCTTACAATTCAATCTTTGATTGCAGTAAAAATGTGTAAGCTGTTTGCTAGTGGACTGATACCATTGAGTTTTGAAGACTATTGTGAGTGAATAATTTAAACTTTTCCAAGATCCGACAAGTCTGATATCTTTACCTTTAATAGCCTATGTGAGGACAATACATGCCACTCTTAATTCGTGGCTATATCACAAGGTCATACTGCTGGCCACCAGAGTGCTATCGTAAATATTTGGAAGTAACTAGTTATTATAAAATAGTTAACATATTGCTACTGAGCAATACGGTGATAGTTTTGGATCGGTATTTCATTTCAGAAAGATATTGGTAAAGAAGCTCATCATAACGACATAAAATTTTCAATATATCAAAGTGAATGATATCTGTGTTTGAGATAAGCATTTTTTAGAAGAAAATGAAGATTAGTACATGAAACTGACAAATATACGATTATGTCAATTGAAAGAATTACTCCTACTAGCTAAAACATAGTACACAGATTTAAAACACCAGAAAAAGGTTGTCCTGCAGATAAATTCAATGCGATATTGCTTAGAAGTTTAAAATTATGTGTAAAATAGAAAAGCTTTCAAGACATATTCAAAATATTTGCGGTAGAACCCTAACATTTCGCTTTTCTTAGAGAATCCAGAAGTTTTGAATGACATGAACATCGCTGTGATTGGGAGGATTCTTACAGTAAAATTTTGAGAGTGACAGAGATAGAGTTTTAGAATAGTAATGTAAAGTAACAACAAAGACACATGATCGTAAACGGCCAGCAACGATAGTATACGTTAGCGTTTTCGGCCGTGTACGATCGTTTCTGGTCGCCGTAATGCTCGACCTGCGAAATGAAGTGAGAAAGAGTAAAACTTCATACTTGATCAAACAACAATCGAAATACGTCTAGAAGTTCATTATATTTTTTCAATGAAAATTTTTTTCTTTCTAGATAATTTTTGCAAGAAAAATTTTGAAGCATTATACTTAAATTTAGCTTTCTATATCTTTGAGTTCGCTTTATTCTATGTTACATTCAACTATTTCGTAACTGGAATCTATTTGTTTAGACTAATAAATCATGCTATGCAGTTTGCTAGAAATATAGTTAACATTTTCCTCGTCGTACTGTCGAGCTTATTCTGTCTAGTCGATTTTGAATAAAACAAGACTCACCTTAGATTATAAACCACGGAAAACCACTGGATAATGCAAATAAATCTCCCGATAATTCTGCTTACAATTATTTAAATCAATAATCCCTATAGATTATAAGAGTCTACCGAAGCTTATCATGGGTTATAAGGGTCTACCGTGGTCTACAATGGTTCACCATAGGCTGCAAGAGTCTACCAATTTTTTCAAGGTTTACAAAACCATGTGAGACTCTCGAAATACGCTTCACAGAACAACATTTATAACTAGATACTATATGTGAGCGTAATGAAACTGCATTTAACAGGAGACAACCTCAATGTCGGCACACTAATACGACACATCTTACTATAGACTGGATGATATGTATTTATCCATGTCCTCAAAATCGTCGCACTTTTGGCGATTATTCACGATTTTCTCAGAAAAATCAGGAGAAGTCGCAAATTTCAGTGAGTTTGACTTAACTGCTCACATCGGTAATATTATGGAAAATCAAATCATATCATTCATCTTATCGTCTCACTGTATTAGTAGCTCTATCTGTCTCCGTGCTCCAGTTATTTGACTTTGCTATTCGCACTTTTTCCATAAATTATTTTTGATACCGGTTGATTCGACTCTTTCTTTGTAATAAGAAATATAAAGAAAATGAACTCGAGGAGGCCCTATAATAGACAGTGTAATCTCATTGATATATTTCATCAAACTCGTGTCGCTGTTTGATGAATCTTGATTCTGTCGGAAAAATTGACAAAAATCATCAGTTTTGACGATATATCGCGATTTAATCTCATGATTAATTGGGTGATAAAACATGATGCCAGATTAAGAAAGCGACAGACATACGTAGATAAATAGTAGCTAGTTGTGGATGTAATGAAGTGATAAATACAACTGCACACTTGCAAATATTGCCTTTTTTCATTTAGATATTTAATGCGTTAGAAAGAATGAGTCGTCTTCCGCAAAAGAAACGGGCCTACTATACATTGACTACAATGTATGTGGTGGCTACTGCAGCCTATTTCATATACACAACGAATCATACTACTATGTTTGAACGGATACAGTGAGTAGATGTTTGATATTATGATTTTTTACTAAGACTTGTACGTTTCCTTGAGACTTTGTTGAAAACTCTATCATGGTTTAAAATTCGCATTGGAATTTTGTCCAAAAAAGGCAAAGAAATTTTTTCACTTTTATATTTTAAAATGCGACAAATAAATTCTGTTAGCACTAAATTGAAACGTAGTGTTCATTTTCTTTATTATTTTTCTAATAGCTATCTCAATGAATATGACATCAATGAACCTTTAAGATTCTCTTATTATTAGCACAATTTATTGATAGTCTCTAATAGAAAATGGCACTGAAAGAAGTGGAACGCATTATAATCGGGCCGGTTTCATATCAATCTTATAATTTTTTATGAGGGATAATATAATACGAGGACTGCTTTTTATTAGAATAAAGATTTACAAACTGGAACTATCTTTCGACATTATCTATGTGGCAAGTCTCAGTCTTTACAAATCGATCAAACCATTCTGCGCATAAAAATATTTATGGAAATCATAAATGACATTGTCATACTGATATGTCGTATGCATTTCTATCTTTAGTAAAGAGATCATATCATTAATTACTATGAAGTTTTCTAGAGTAGGCATCAGCGAATGTTCTTCTCTTCAATGTTCTTATTCAACTCAATGTACAACAAAAAACGAAACTTGTTGTGCCTACATTCTTAAACATTTTTTGGTATTTCTGGATGGATTTTTCCGAAGTCATAATCTAACATACGTAGTTATCTATGGCAGCCTACTTGGAGCTGTACGTGATCATACTATTATTCCATGGACACATGATATTGATGTAGGTTACTTTAACAGTACATATCTCCACTCAAATGAAATTCGTAATGAACTGTATGAAAATGGCTATCATTTGTTCGAGGTAATGTCACATATAGTGATAAAAGAATGAAAGATAGATGTAATTTGTATTAGGCTATTGGCATGTCTCGTATATGTGTGCGCAAGAACAATTCAATAACAAATTGGCTCACTACACAAATTGTTCATCGTAAATCACCAACAGTAATGGGGGACTTATCTGCCTACATTGACTTATATACAGCCGCCAAAAACGCAACAAATCCAATATCGAATATTTCTATATACACCATTCAAACCAACGATAATTTTTTGACACCGATTTCTTTTGAGAAAATGGTGGAAATAGATGGGCAAACATTTCCAACTGTAGATAATGTTCACGAACATCTCGTTTATAACTATGGTAATCGATATATGACCGAAATAAGTGATCGAACGATGTGAAATTTAGAAAATTCGTAACATGATATCCTAGTATTAATAATACGATATATAATAGGATTCAATACATTTCAGGAATTATGTTTTACATAGGTACAACGAATTACGTGTCTTATTATTACAAAGCATATATAAGTGAAAAATATACCTTTTTGTTTTAAACAAATATTTAAATGAAATCATGCTTTACATCAATATTGTAATAGACTATAGCATGAAAGTTTCACTTGATTTCGTTTGCATTTTTACATGGGAGATAGTTCACTAGGGTTATCTATTTTAAATTTTAGGCACTTAACCTAATTAGACTGTTATCAAGTCCATTTTGACAACACGGCAGTAGACTTTCTTACTTTTAAGAGAACATGTTCGAGGTAAAATAACAAAGAGCAGCAAGCAATAAGATAAATCAATGAGATACAAGAAATCTGTCGAATCAAATGAATCTATGGCATCTTATATGTAACCTTTTATTCATTCAGTAATCTGACAATTGAACATGCTTAAAGAAATCAGGTAGCAGCACAGCCTTTCTGTATTCCGACAATGGTCAGACAGTGATATATACCGAATGCCGTATGTGTTTCAATAAAACCGACGAAATTTTATGGGATTCATGGGCACGGACTTACCGTCGGATCCTTGGTATTAGATCCAATCGGATCCGATGTTGGATTTTAACGGAATCCAACTCTAACGAATCACCCTTGCGCTCTGATGGCACAGAATGCTTATTTGATCGTGAATAAGAAAATGATTTTTTCAGTCGAAACTGACAATAGGCCCGTGTCCAGGAATCCTATCGGATTCTGTTGGAGAGTCGGATCCCATAGGATTCGATAAGATCCGTTGTCGGATTCATTCACCTGGAACTATCCCAATTTTCTAAAATCCTACTTGTGCCGAGATAGATGGCAAGCTCCGATGATTTCCCTTTCATCTCCATCTATTCTCTTTCTATTGCTCTAATATCTCTCTCTCTCTCTCTCTCTCTCTCTCTCTCCTATATATATGCGTGCTTTATTTATGAAGTCGTTACACTCTGGCTATGTGAAAAAGCGAATAAACATCATTACCGAGGGTAGCGGTAAGCTACTCCATTCCAGAGATGGACGAGTCAAGTCAAAAATAACTTAAGTCCAAGTCAAGTCATTATTGACTGACTTTGACTTGACTTGAGCAACTTTTTGATGGCTTGAAGGCTTGACATCTGACTGGTATAGCCGTTTTGTTTATGGCTTGTGGCTGGGCATGACTTGACTCTGAGAGGAAACATTTTAACTTGGCTTGTAAATTGCTAAAAAATGCAAGCCAAACCAGGTGTCTTTCACCAACGATAATTATGGGCGTGCTCCGCCATAGGAGGCCCCAACACTCATTTTTTTATTTAGCTTCAACCAGTTATCAGAAAAATCTGATTTTTTTTACCAGTTATACTACATATATAATGCTAATGATCTGTTATTGTATCAGCTCTATATCTTACTATGAACGAGAATTTCCAAGTATCCTTTGTTAAAGAGCGTGCTACATTAGCTCTTCAATACTTTTTAATTTGCCGTTTCAAATGTCGTCCATAGGATGAAAGAGCACACCAAGTTCAGCAGTGTCATTATTCCAAAATTCTCGAATTTTCATAGAATTTTCATAGAATTCCAAATTCGTGATTTTTACAATATGATTCAACAACAAAAGGTTCCATATAGCATTCACAGTTCGCAAACCGTTGAAGTATAAGAATTTTAGAATTATGAAAACTTTTGGAATTATTGCAACTACCAGAATTATCAGAATTCTTGGAATTTTAGAATTTTAGGAATTATTGGAATTATCAGAATAATTGGAATTTTAGAATTTTAGGAATTATTGGAATTATCAGAATAATTGGAATTTTAGAATTTTAGGAATTATTGGAATTATCAGGATTTAGGAATTATTAGAATTATCAGGATTTAGGAATTATTAGAATTATTTTAATTCTAAAATTCCAATAATTCCAATAATTCTAATAATTCTTAAAATTGTAAAATTCCAATAATTCTAATAATTCTTAAAATTGTAAAATTCCAATAATTCTAATAATTCTTAAAATTGTAAAATTCCAATAATTCTAATAATTCTTAAAATTGTAAAATTCCAATAATTCTAATAATTCTTAAAATTCTAAAATTCCAATAATTCCAATGTTCCAATAATTCCAATAATTCCAATGTTCCAATAATTCCAACATTCCAATAATTCTAATAATTCTTAAAATTCTAAAATTTCAGTAATTCCAATGTTCCAATAATTCTGAAATTCCGTTAATTCCAAAACTTCCTGTTGGCTAGAGCTGTGAACGGCATACAATTCATAAAAATAGAATTTTATGATGCCATTAATTTCGGAATTCTATGAGAATTCTAGAAGTTTGGAATAATGACAGGACTCGCATTTTAAGAAGAAAAAAAGATATAAGAATATGAAGAATGAGATACGTATAGGCAGGAAAAAAAATAAACCAGAAAAAAACA